AAACATCATTTTTCGACCCCCATTTGACCCCCTGGGACAAAATCAAAATTCCGAAATCTTACTGCACATGTACATGACACCACCAATCTTCCCCCAAAAGGTGATTAGACTGCTGAGTAAAATGTAGAAGGAGTTCAGGGAAGACAGGACTTTTTACATAAAAAACGTCATTTTTCGACCCCCATTTGACTCGCCGGGGCAAAATCAAAATTTCGAAACCTTACTGCACATCTACATGACTCCACCAACCATCTCCCAAAAGATGATTAAGCTACTGTGTAAAATGTAGGAGGAGTTCAGAGAAGAAAAGTGTGACAGACGGACGGACGGACGGACATGAGTAACAACAATATACCAGAAATTTCTTTAGAAAGTGCGGGTATAATGATCCTACATTTGTTATTCCCATGGAACCAATTTTTATGTCCTGCTCACAAATTTGCATTCTTTTGTCAATTTTATTTGAAGCTTATCTGAACTGAAAAGCTTAAAGGTCATTGGAAACAATAATTCTTATACTATAATTTAACTTTTCAAAGCTTCTTTCATATATGAAACAATGATATATTCCGAGCATTATGGTATATTCTATTTGCTATGTTAATGTATCTACTTGACAAAGTATATTTTACAGATTGGCACAATGAAAATGTCTCCAAAAATCTATCTTACCTAATATTGCAAATTCGTACGTGTATTGCTTTGATTGCATTTCACGTCAAATAAACATTCAATATAAACCTTCATCATATACATTAAAAGTAACTTGCATATAATTCAGCTTTTCTGTAAATATATGCAATTATCAAAGCTTTCGTTGTCATAATATTGTTTGAAGCTAATATTGATGGTGTTATATGTATGTTGTTGATATGAAAAAAATGGTTTATTTTGTTGATTACTTTGTGTATCGGTCATCAGTTGCGAAATCCGGAATATTTGTCCGTACTTTTTTAAACATACCGTGTTTCACTCTGAAATTGCAATATCCACACTTCTTTTTTTTCTATCAATGCCGATTACCAGCAGACGCTGTAAAAACTCGGAGCTAAAATTGTTAAAAATACCCTCCCACCTAACATCCTTTAACTTATTTATTTGACTTGTTCAGGGTTTCTACCGTTTAAGTTTTGTACTTTCAGATAACATTAGCTGACTACAGACACGGGAATCCTTAGACGTACATCCATCTTATTACCGTGGATTTTTTTCAATTGTCAATCCAAAGTGCTAAGAAGCCATATCATCTCCTTTAGAGTGGCTGTAAAAACAGACACGGGAATCCTTGGGCATAGATCTGAACACAGTGTTTTAATTCTTCAACATGAAGTGCGCTGGACCAATATCGTTTCCTTTAAGTTGGTTGTGAAAAAGACGGGAATCCTTAGACCACCATTTCGTCTCAGTGGTATTATAATTGCAGTGTAGCCATATCGTCACCTTCAAGTTGGTTTTGAAATATAATGTTGACTTTTGTTACGTTGATGTTGACTGTTGTTACGATGATTTTGATTTGATAATATATTCATATATAGATTATGTCAAGTAAAGAGATAGATATTTTATTAAAAGTTGATATGTCGGTAGCATGATTGTGAACCCCAACCCAACATGGTACTTGCCGTTTCGGACGACCCATAAAATGTTGTTATAGGGGTTGAGCCCTGTTGTCTGGCGGCCCAAAAATTGATGTTGATTGTTGAAATAAATTTATCTGACCACTGTGACCAAACTCTGCCATACAATAAACAATAAACTTTGAATGTGATTTTAATTATGAAACGATTCATTAGCAATGTTGCGAATACAATTATAGGGCTCATGTAAGCCTATGTATATTATGGATGTCTCGGTAGAAATACCCATAAGGCATTACTGTCTTTGATAATCCAATTATACACTGTGCGGTAAAGGTGACTATAGTGTGGTAAAAATACGCCATATTAAGGACCGGTCAAAATATCCATACATATCAGGCTTCAGACCGACTTCCAAAGATCCATATAAAACCGGAAGTAACCTATATTTCAAGCTTAAAAGTTTTTTTTTTTACATGATCTTATTTAAATATACCTGTCAAACAATTATTGGATAACATCTGTGGTCTCGTTTTTTCAATAACCTAAAATTGACTATTTTAAATTGTAAAGAAAGAGATCATAAACAGTCATGAAACATTTTTCAATGACTTTTTTTGGTAAACTCGCAGTATTTTAAATAGTTATATATAATGGTTTGAATATCACATAATAAAATTTGCATCAAATGTTACATAAGCCCTGGGCCCCATATCAGCCACTCGTGCTTTGATTTGACATATGATATGAATTTTAGTATATTCTAATATTCTATATTGATAAGATAAAAGGTTTAAAAATAAAATGTGTAACGTTGCTATTATATCCCACTCACTACACTAGTTATATTTGTAACTAAGATGGCTTATAAATTAGAAAAAAAATATGAGAGATTTTTTCGGTCAAATCTTGATGAAGTGGACCAAATTACACAAGGCTTTTAACTTTGAATTACAAGGTTTTATTTGAAAAACAAACTTTTTATTACAAGATAGAAAATAAAAAAAAAATCATAATGAATTTTCTTATGTTCCAAGTTTTAGCCTGTTGCATTATACATGCGAATTAAAATGATTTGAACGTTTACAATAAAGGAAAAATAGATTATTCAGTATCAATAATTTTAAAATATTTGTGGATTAGAACCATCTGAACAAAGACTAATATGCTACTTCCAAACATCTCTTTAATGACCTGCACAATCTTAGTGAGTTTTTTTTTTGGGGGGGGGATTTTGGAAACAATTATTTACATTGTACACGATGCAAAAAAAATATTGAAGGTGCAATAAATATAAAAATGTATAGAAAAAATATGTCTTATACATGTATTTATGCAATGCAATTTCACTGTCCTTTAAAAAAAACTATCATTATAAAGTTTAAAAGAAATCATTTGATACCGTGTTCGTATTAAGTTCCTGGGAATTAAAATATGCGATTAATTCTTTTGAAACTATTTTCACGAATTTCTGTACATGAGATATCTGCAAAATCTAAAAACAAAATAAAGCTTGGTAAGGATAACAAAGCATTTGTGAAAATTTTGTCTCCAAAAAAGAAGAAACTGGATACAAATTCGAAAAACGTCATTGTAATAGGGAATTTAACCCAACACATCCCTTGCACCCTTTGAATTGTCTTTCTTTAAAAATTAAAGAGTGACAAGAGGCAAATCAAACACACCTCTCACCTTGGTTAAGAAAGCCATGACGTTATTATTAGCAGATAATACCTATGTAATATTCCTATGTAACATTTTGACAACCTATATATTGGCACAATCTATCGAAATATTTATAAATTGAACAACCTTTTATTTACAATATCTTAAAATGATTCATTATATGGTTAATTCACCAAGAACTGGACACCCTTGTATTTGAACAAGTTTTAGCAATATCTATCCATAGCCAAATTTATAAAAAAAATTAGCTTAACATAATTTCACAGTCGATAAACTAAGTTTATTAGTTGTTAACTACAATTAACGACGTCAATTAATATTTCACATCTGTAAACTATGTTTCAGAACCGTAAACTATACTTAACACTGAAAACAAACATTTGCGATAACAAAACATAGATTATCTGATAAATGGACTTTCACGATTTGTAAAATATGATTTACAACTCTTTTCTATAATTAAAGATCTGGTAAATATATTTTCACGATTTTAGAATTGTTAACTATAGTTCATCGTTTGTAAAGTATAGTTTACAGTCGATAAAGTTTAACCTAGTTTATCAACTGTGAAACTAAGTCAAGCTCACTTTTGTGAAATTGGCGGGCCATAGATATCGCTATCGACAGGAAATTATCAAAATAAAGTTTATCGTGACTAATTTAAGTGACTAAAATTTGAATTTCGGACACAAATATATAGTATCTATTGGGAAAATATAACTAAAAACCGATTTTTTTTAAATGTTCCCGAAATCACCATGGATCGGACATTATTAACCATGCATCGGGCAACAGGTACTTGGACCAGAAAAGTTAAACATACTTTTAAATGATTGATATGGACATTACTTTAAATCTTTTTATGTAAAAATTGACCCTCAACATATATTTATATCACAATACCGTTGCACAAACGTGGAAAGATTCAAAATGCTACGCTTTGCCTAGAAAGGCTTTTAAATGCCTGTTATGTGGGATTTTGCGCAATTTTCTTGAAGGTTATCATGCTCTTGTATTAGAAATCAATATATACCAATATTATATGTCATAATTCAGAAATTTATTTTTTAATAAAATAAATTATTTTTTAATAAAATAAATTAGACTTTCTATTTCCTATTTCCGCAAAAAAAAAGCCATCATCTGGGTTCTGTATGAAAATGGTAGTCATTATCTTTCCCCTTTGATGATGTAATATATGACGTAACTTTAAGATCATTTTTGATACTAAAAACCAGCATTATAAAAAAAGACACCAGCTTCAAGTCAGATCAGTGATAAGCTCACGTGCACCCTAAATAGTGATTTTTTTATCTATAACAAAAAAGATATTTTTATCTTATATCTTATAAAAAGCAACTTTTTTTCAGTCAATTGTGGTGTAGTCCTTAAATCCTTTCATTTGTTTGAAGAAAGTTAAAATCAATACTATATAACATTACTTATACATAGAGATGTTTTATCGTGTCTTTTTCATTAAAAAAAATAATCACCAGCTGTATATCCTTATTTAAAATAAACGTTGATAGCTCTTAAGACTTAGTTAAATTCTTTACACTGCATTAGTAGCATTTACATGTGAATAAGTTTCATATTTTTAGGCCTTGTATTTCTAGATAAAAACTTATTCAAAGATGAAGTCCTAATTATTCATCAAATTCTCTATTCTATCGTTGAAGAGGTTTGACTTAGATGAAATTATTGGTTGAAACATCGCCTTCTAAGAGCACATCGAGCGAAACATTTATTTCTTTTCTTATTTTCAGTGAGTTATTTTTTTTATATTTTTGTCATGTACGAATTATTAAGAAGGAAATGATAATAGTGACATTTTCGAAATTTGTAAAACATATTCTACCCAGTGTTAAGGTTTCAAAATGTTATAATTCAACAAGTATATGCATTGCGTATTTTTAAACCCAAAAATTACCTCTTTAACATAAAAAAATTAATTCGGCTCAAATGTAATATCATCCTTTACCTATAATCTTTATAATGTAAGAAAAAGATATTTTTTTTTTAACAATTAAGTCTATATGTTTGATGAACTTTTGAATTTCATCATTATTACATGCATATCATCCCTTATTGATGAATTTCTATTGATTGGAGTATATGTTTTCAGTGCCTCGCTGAATGTGATCGTTCACGGCCTTCATGACCAGCCCATATTCTTCCTGTAAGAAAAAACATGTGTTCATGAAATATAAAACGGACCTAAATTACTGATATTTAAATGAGGTGTATTTATTTATGTTATTTTGTTCATTAAGAAAGGTGAATACATTTAATTGTTTATTAAATAAAATAATTTCTCGAATTATCGCCAAAACATTTCAACAATTAAAATCTTGCATGTAATACAAGTTGTTGAAATTATCGATGTAAAAGAGATTTATCAAACAAACAATCCTCATTACATGCTAAGAAACATTTTGTTTGATAAATTGACACTCAAAAGACTGCAAATTTCCTTACAATCGAAAGTACCCCTCGTAAACATATCACTTATACATGTAACCGTATTATACTGTCAGCATTAATATAATGAAATGTATTACATGTATACATTCGTTAGGACTTACAAGACTGGAGCAGAATTCGGGTCTTCGTACTTGAAGCTGTCTGACATTTGTAAAAACATCCACCATTGCATCCATATAGATTTGTTGAATCACATTATGAACTGCACAAAAGGCACCACAAAGGACAGCTCCATCGCTACATGGTAAACGATATTTAATTTCAAAAGTAAACAATTTAGATAGTAAATTCAACTCATATCCATGCCGCTTTATATCAAACAATGACAGTCAGACAGAAATTAGGAAAATAATTTAGATTATGCATTCACAAACTTGGCACGCAAATTTCAATTATTCCATGCATCAAATTCTATTTATGAAAAAAAAATGATGATTGATCACTATTTTCTGAACAGGTGATTAGATTTACATTCAACTTTTTCAATATATTGAAATGCATCGGCAGGGGAGATTCTCAGTCCTCCGTGGAACTTGATCCCACCTTTAATGTTTTCGAGGACGATGTTTGCTCTACTCCTAATTTGTATTGTTTTGTGTACTTTGAGCTTGAATACTGTTTGTTTTCTCCATATATTTCATTTCTAAAATTAATACAAAACCTGCTGACAACAATGACAGGATTTTCTGTTTCCGCGCTTGATGCAGCAGAAACCAGGCTTCGAAACTGGGAAGTATCCAAAGGTGTTCCGGAAGTCTTGATGCTAGATCTTGGCTCTATTATCGTCACTGTCCGAGGCTTCTTAACCTGTTTGACAAAAATGATATGTGAAATATTGTTTTTTTTTCGAAGAGAGAGGAAGAGACAGCGAGAGAAGACGGTCCATCTTGGGTACGTACATTTTTCTGCCGGATGTGAACAATGAGGCTGCAGACATCGGTCTCAGTTCTTGATTGGAAGTTTATGGTGAAAGGAGGTACTGAATTGTAGGAGGAGGTTTGACTTGGTAGCCAGGCCTTACACTAGAGATAAAATCACCACAAATTATATAGATATCATACTAAGTATAGATAAAACAAAAGTAACGAATGCGTTGCTTTACCACTGAGTCTCCATGTGCGAAAAGTTTGATAACGTATCTCTAATTAATTTAAGAAAAAACAGTGTCTACAAGTTTTTTTTAATTCAATTGCATTGATCTTCAAAACAAAAAAAATTCAAGGAAAATATAAAAGAAATACTGAAGTAGTACTTTTTTCCGCGTGGTATAAATTTACGCTATGTACGCGGTCACACATTTTCCGCGGAAATTTATCCAAGCGTACTTACGTGCTTAACATAAAAGCAAGGCCTATAGTGACAGTCTAAGAAATCCGCGTAATTATCTACCCGTGGATTAAGGGGAAATTGAGATTCCGCGGAATTATGACCCCGTGGAAAAAAGTACATTTACAGTAGACTACTAAAAAAAAAGAATAGTGGTCTAAGTGGAAAATTCTTCAAGACACCTTATTGTAACCAGACATTAAAGACACCAGCAACAAAAGCATAACGGTTGTTCAGCCTAATATTCAATAATAAGTTTACCTTAGATGTCTGTGAAATAAATAAAACTACCGTCTAGTTCCCATAAAGTTTTCACGTACATACCGATTCAATCTCATTCAGGGGGTCCATACAAATTACAGTACTGGACTCTTGTTCACAGAGCAGGCGCAGAAAATCAACAGCGTCCCCTTCCGATGGATAGTTAGTTACAATAAAGGCCCAATTGTTGGTGAATGACTAAAGAAATAAACAGAAAAGGGAACTCTTTTAACACGTATAAAAATGATGTAAATAAAATGAAATAAAAGATATGGACAACATTCAATGTTGAATATTTTTTTGTCATAGATTATACAAATGTTCACCTTACAAATCTCGCAGTGTACATTTGCACATAAAAAAATAAATACTCGGTATTTCTTTACTGTAACTAGTTTGTCATTTCTTACCGGTACGTAGATCGCATTGATGAAACTTCCTCGATTCGTGACAGGTGTTGAAAGATAAACAATATATTTATCCACTAAGTTAAAAAAAGAGAAAAAAAAATAAATTGACCGACAATAACCACACAAAGGTCCTAAAGTTCCCATTTTAAACATTTTTGAATTCTTGTAAGTTTTACTGAATTATACAAATTTTTTTAAAAAAAATAACATATTCACAGTTTGCAATCTAGATAAAAAACGATTTGTTCTTGATAAATATGCTGCCATAAACTTACATGGCAAAAAACCGGTGATAGGTCCATCCCTACAAAGCTCTTTAGCGATTTTAAAGTCAGCATCGGTGTAAATAGGTCGTATCTTCATCAAAAGCTAAGTGTCAGAAAAGAAGTATAAAAGTATATAAATGATTATATGTTCTAAGACAACTCGTTTTCATAGTATTTCTGGATAGAGATCAATTTATAATATGCAAAACATAGTGTTTATGACAAAACTAGTTAAGCTTAAAAGTTACATGAGCGGAGATTTGCAATAATTTGTTTTTTTTTTAAATATTCCTCATCCCAAGTCTGTACTCTATCATTAATAGGAAAACAGAAAAGGAGGTAAACTGGGACAATTTTCACCAGAAGGGTTAGAAGACTTAAATCTTATATATTTTTTCTTTTTTGTTTTAAGCATAGAGGAAAAGGAAATAACTATAATAAACAAAAATAACAAGAGCTGACGACAATTTTATATAGATAATTAATCTCCTACTTTGACGGTTTACTTAATTTATTGCCAAAAATATTTTAAATTATGATCAAATGTTCAATTTAGGATTAAAAGGTTAATCTAAAGGTACATGCGCATGCATATATTTCAACCAAGGTACATTTCTCTGATAAACTGAGAATTTACCATTCAAAATATACATTCTATTACATTCATAATTTTATTAATAGCAAAAGAGAAAAAAAAAAAAAAAAAAAAAAACCTTCAACGGTTACGCACAGAAACAAACGTTTAAGAGTATATGTAAAACAAATGATGAAAAATAGCTTATTTTTTATGTTAAAAAGTTAACGAAAATATAGTTATTTCCTCATCAGTTGATTTAAAGAAAAGACAAATTATTGTTTCTAGCACCCATGTTCATATGTATATTTTATTGATCATATTGGTTCAAAATGTTTAAGGTAACAAAAAACCCTTGTTTCATTATAACCACTTGATTTTTTCCTTCTGAAAAATACTATCTGAAAAAAGTTTTTTTTTTCCTGCAACTCTCCATTCAATTTCATTACATGTGCACTTTTTAAAGCCATATTACTTTTTGGCAGAGCTTTTTTTTCTTCTGAAAAACCCTATCTGAAATAGATATTTTTTCCCTGCAAATGTCCATTCAATTTCATTGCATGTGCACTTTTTAAAGCCAAATTATTTTTTGGCAGAGCTTATTGTTTTATTGTATGCCTGGAATTCTTTTCGTAAAGCACTATGATTGGCGGGTTCATCCGTCGTCATGGTTCCGGCCTTTCTGGTAAAGTCCTCAATAGTATGGTTGTTTATTGGCGCCTTAAATATTTCATTCAATGCAAGAAAAACCGTCATGTACTGTTCCTGAAATTAAAATGTTATGATAAAATTGCATTGTAGTTGATAATAAAAAAAAAAAAACACGAATATTTTTCCCGTCTTTTCCTAAGAAAAATTCTAAAAAAGAAATGAATTTGAAGAGAACTACTATAAATATATAAAAAAGAAATTTCAAATAGGTTACAATTAGTAATTAATTTTCATTGCTGTCGACAATATTTCAGCCATATCTCGGCGGTAAGGAAATACACATTCTTTATTCTCTACGAACATTATGAAACGTGTAGCAAAAGAAATAGTAACGGAGAAAGATTTATTTTCCGAAGTAAAAATGGAACAAAAGAACGTGAAAATTTCTTTTCTTTTTTGTAGCATTTTTAGCATTTGGATAAAATAAAATAACATAAGAAAAATTATGCATAAAAGTATTAAAATTTGGAAAAAAAAAACACCATTAGATTTTATTACAAATTGGCCATGAACAAAGAATATTTTTAATTGATTTATGAAAAAAGTACATATTTCAAAAGATGATGACTTAATTATTGTTAGCATGCACAAAAATATATATTTTAAAAAAAAATGAAGAATCTTTTAGCATTGTTTATTTTAAAGTAAAATCGTACATATGTTTGGACCATATTCATCCTGCTTTCTCTCATCTTCTTGACATACTCTGCTACGTTGACTTTCCCTGTCTTTCTTCCTATCTTTTCCAAGGTGTCTAATGCTATATATGTTCCCGTTCTACCTAAACCAGCACTAATGATGAAAAATAAATTGAAAAATTAATCAAATAAATAAATTATAATTACATAGCCATCAAGATAATTATCAGATATATGTTTTGCAACGAAAACCTTCTAGAAATAGTTCGTAACAAAAATTTTACTAAAATCTCTCTCTCTCTCTCTCTCTCTCTCTCTCTCTCTCTTGCAAAATCATAACTTTAATTATGATGTGAATGTAGAATAAGATAAATTACTACATTCAGGCAATCTGATACATAGTCCTTAACCCATGTTCGGTCTCGCTTCTCTAACCTGAGTAAGAAAAGCGAGACCGTTGGCCCCGACGAATCAATCTGATTAAAATCAGCTGTGTATTCGAGTACGTTAAATACGTTTTACGCCACAATCAACAGGTCATAAAAGAGAGCAAGGTTGATCGGTATATAATAAGAATATATTTTTTGCAATGAAAGTTTTCATTTCTTTTTTCTTAATTTTCTTTTACTGGATGAAATCTTAAATGGTCAAACATACCTGCAGTGTATAACTGTCGGGGAGTTAATTTGATTGGTTTTTGTTTGGTTAACGTGATCAAGGAAAACAATAAGACAGATTGGATCAGGGGTCCCGTGATCTGGCCAGGCTGTGTAATGAAATTGAGTCACTGTTCGAGATTTCTTCGACTACAATTAAAAAGTAATTTTATTTAAGCTTTGTTGATAAGTATAATTTCTACATGTGAAGGCTAAGTTGAATAATTATACAAGTCATGTAACTGTACCCTTAGAGTTGAAATTTTACAATCAGTCTATTAACATAAGGAAACTTTGTTGATAAACTATAATATTTTGATCTAGTGTTGATCAATATTGAAAACTAAGTTGAAAAAGTATTTAAACGTACTTTTTTGTTTCTTTTTAAAATTACCTCATTGTGACTCACAGACATCCTTCTTAAAATGTAGAATGCATACATTTTTTCCTCCATCAACTTCACATTGACGGTTCCGTAGTTGTTCTTCTTACTAATATCTGGCCAATACTGACTGCATTTCATCTGTAAGTGAATGCAAACATTGATTTTCATATTAAAAAATGAACAGGAACACACTATGGTTAAATCAAAATTATACATATATATATATATACTGAAAGGAAAAAGAAACGCCGGGTATCATAATATTCGAAAACTTTTTGACCGCATTACCGAAAAGTACGAAAATTGGTCAGATGAGAAATTTAGTTACCATGCACCAAAATCAGTGTTCAGAATTACTTAATCGTAAAATGTTTGACGTCATGTAGGGAAAACGGTAAAAAGCCCAAAACACGTGCAATTTGATAACCACGAGTTTGTCAACAAATCGTGTTGCACCATTTGATGCACTTGAGGTATACACATTGTTTTTTCAATATTTAGAGACGATATGAATTCCTTGCAATCTGGGTACAGTTTACGGAAGTTCAGTGGGGTCTGATTTTCGAATTGCCCAATTATTGAAAAAGGCAACAATGGGTAACTAATGGGTGTCTTGTAAATTTTCCCCCATAAAACTTGTTACCCGTTGTCAGAGAGGGCCTGGAATGGTTTTCAATCAACCGTGACGATGACGTTAACGCGAAACAGAGCCATGTTACGAGCGGGTTAATCGTCCTTCTACCTCTCAAATCGCAATCCTACTACCACAAAAACCGCCTTTTATACAGTGGACTATTCTAGTAATTACATTCACACAAAAAAATAAAAGAAAACAAAGCTGCAATGTGGTTTTTTGAGCAAGTCAACTTACTGTTGTGTTCCTCTCACTCGCGCATGCGCGCGTTGCATGACTAATTTTTTGGCGTGGTTACCGATGCCCAATACAGCTAGGGTTTAAAAGATAATCACTCTGATGAATTGATTGAATTCCATGCAAAGGAGAAATAACGCTCATGACAGATGTGCAGGAGTGACATTGAAGATAATGAGTGTTTTCGATTTTCATTTTTAGGGGTATCTTCATATGAGGTTCAATAGCTCAAGAATTATCAGACAAAATCAAATGAAATTTTTTGTTATATCTTTTTGAAAGATGATTTTAAAAGTTAGATAGGAATACTGAAAAAAATTGAAAAAAAAAATAAATTTAATTCACCTCAAAATTTTACCCTGCGTTTCCTTTTCCTTTCAGTATATATATATATATATATATATATATATATATATATATATATATATATATACTGAAAGGATTAAGAAACGCATATTTAACTTTTGAGTTAAATTAAAACAATTATTTCAAATACGTTTTTCAGCATTTTTATCCTACATTTTAATTCATCTTTAATCAACAAGTTACCAGAATTTTGTGCGATTTTGAGTGATAGTTCCTGAGATATTGATATCAATATTTTGACAACCCCAAAAAATAAAACTAAAAATTCTCTTAATCTCCCTTTTGCATCAGTAACAAACTTGATTTTCCTGTGCATTGAGTTCACCAGAGCATTTATTTTTTCATAGCATTATTAGTCAACCCTTCCGATGGTAGTCTTAATGGCTGAGATTAGCTGTATTATTCCAAAATCAACAAATCCCCCCGCTCAATCGAATCCCGCGAATTTTCGATTTAGGATAGAATATACAGAACCCAGCAGGTTTGGTGCTTGTGAATGTTTGTAAAAAAGTATCGACAAATATTAGCTACATTTTCCCAATGTAAACATGCTCAAAAACATTACGTAAACGACGCGTACGTGCGCGTTTGAGAGTAAAATCGACGTAAGCTGGCCAAGCTCGCGGCCCAAATTAGACCAGAGAGTTTCTGTCAGTTTAGGGTGAAAAAAGTGAGTATGTTTGTCTGCTGTATAAATATCAGTTTCGGTTATAATGCCTTGACAATAACCGAGGTGGCGTGATGAAAAGCCCTATCTTGTTGTGACGTTGGTACGCGCCAACATCACCGTCATGGTTGGTTGGAAACATTTTAAGTTCAATCTCTGACAACCAAAGAACACTTTTATTTGGTTGAAAAGTTGAGAAAAAAATCTGTACATCAGCATGTTTTTCCCTTTTTATTCACTTATGCAATATTGAATTCAATTACTGAACCCACAGTAGATTCCGTCAGCCATACCACGATTGCAAGAAATTTATACTGACTGCAAATATGCAAAAACGATGTCTATAATTCTAATGCATAGCATGGTGCTACAAAATTTTGTTACAAAATTAACATCATTAACATGCACGTGTATTTGACTTTTTTTCATTTCCCCTACGTGATGCCATACATTTCATGGTTGAGTAGTTTTGACTAGTGATTTTAGTGCAAAGTAACTAAAATAAACATCTGACCAATTTTCATAATTTTTGGTCACATAGTCAGAAAATTTTCCCATATCATGTTCTTGTGCGTTTCTTTTTCCTTTCAGTATATATATATATATCGATTGCCAAAGATAATTACATTTTGAACTGAATAGCCCTTTTGTTTGATACAAAATTAAATTAGTAAGCCATAATTTTTCAAAAATGATTTTATCCTTGATAACAGTATAAACCTCAAAAATGTAACATGAAATAATGGTTTGATCATAGTAAAATAAAGATCTATATGAATCTAATAGTTTTTGAGTGAAGAATGTAATGTACTTTTGTTCCTTCTTGCAGGTTCGTTAGCATAACGATTGAAGACACATTTTCTTGCCAAATCATCGTCCAAAAATCAACAAGTGTGTTCTGCTTTGGTCCTTTATGAGTAATAAAATCAAGAACAATATTAAATACCAAAATGTGGAGTATCTTGAAACGTATAGAATTGAGAACGCCATGGATATAAATCTTAGATGAAGGATGACAACTAAGTGACAACTACTTTTTCATATTATTCATACTTTTAATAGTCCGGTATCTTTTTGTCGGTATTCTGGAATCAATCTTTTTTTTTTATATAATAAGATGGTGAATATATATTTTCCTTACAAATAAAGCAAGTTGTAATTTCAACCGACAAATTACGAACGGGCACCGCCCCCCCCCCCCCCCCTGGATTTATAATACAGCTACAATACCTGTGTATCAAAGCCATATTAATTTTATTTTTCGCAGCATATAGTATTTTGAATTTCTTTAAAGTCTTTGGGTTTTTGCAATTTTGTTTCAGAGCATAATTCCTTATTGTCCCGACCACCTTTCGTTAAGTACTTATCCCCCCTTCGACCCCTATAGTTCCGCATTATATTTTATTTCATGCCACAGAATGACATTTTTTAAGTTTTCCTTTCATTTCCCTTCTCGAACACTTTGCTCGTTTAAATGTCAATTGAAATATATTGTAGCGTCACTGTAGCGACTACCTGGCTTTGAGGTATCATGTGAAAATTTTAGCTATCGAAATCCCAATAAAATTGAAGAATTCAATAATGCATTCGTGAATACAATAGACTACAATGACTGATCCCCGTTTTTGGTTACGTTCGTTCGTTCGTTAGATGTTGGTGTTTCTCTATTAGGCATCGTTGGCGTAAGACACGAAGACAGACGCACAAGATATACATGTTCATTAGGCTAACTTAGTTCCTGATGTATCGCTTGGTGAAATTTGCATGTCTGCAGAATGATTAAAAAATTAATTGTCTAACTTTCAAGGCGTTATCACAGAGAAAACAATAGAAATGTAATATATGGACGTCATCTTTCTTAACATTTAAAGTAGTAAATTTTGCACAAAACGGAAGGCTTTTCTTTAAACGGAAATTATTTTTCTAAATAAAAAAGGCTCACAAAAAGTAAAACAATAAAACCAAACAAGTGATAATAATGAATAAGTTTTGCCCTGAAGTCAATTGTATACTAGTATATACCTTGTGTTGCTATATACTCATTATTTCTACTTGAACCCTACAAAGAAATAATGAATATGCATACATCAGTTACCTATTCAGTGATGGAAAATGAAGATGTAAATAACACATATAAAAAATATATGAGGCATGGAACTGAAAATCTTATTTTCATTCTTAAACAATTTGAATTTTCAATATTTTTCCTTTTTATAAAATTATGTCACTATTATAAAACCAGTCTTATTCTTGCATTAATAGTTTTTACCTCAATGTAGTTGGCGTTTATGTACCCAGAATTTGCCTCTGTCCTCAGAATAACTCTCGAATGGTCATCTTAATTTAGACAAAGACATGTAGATATGTGTGGTTTTAAAGAATGAACAATTAAGATAAACCTAAGACGTTAAAAAAACTTCGATGGAAATTGTAGTGGGTTGGCCACGTTATTAAATCCCGTGATATCCGGAGATCTTTGCAGAATATTTCATCACTTTCCGACCCACTTCAATTTCCACTATTTTGTTTTTATATTTCTTATTTATAGCTTATATATACATATGAAAATGGAATATTTTCGAATATGAATTATTGCACCCACCCCATGTCGTAAATTTCGAGAAAAAAAAATTACACAAGGTGTAAATCGACTTGAAAGGCTGTTACGCTTCGAATTCATCGGGCATCGGATTTTAATTCCAAGGGAACATTTTCTCAAAGGCTATTTGCGTTCAGTAATATTGAACAGATTGTTGGTTGGAAAAAAATTGTACTCGTGAAAAATTCATAATGAGTGCTGATTAGGCACAAAAAACATGTCGGAAGATTGAATATGAAAAGTTGTGGAATTCTGGTCGCCAAAAAGGAACGGTTCAAGCCAGTTATTTTGCAATCAAGTATAAAACTTGATCAAAAACATTAAATCTACATTTTGAAAGAGACGTTTATGATAATGTAGACACAGAGACACTGGCGACAGCTTACATTGTTACGACAACGCTGAAATGTTTGTCAGCTCGTGGAGTGATTGCAAAGTATTGAAATTTGAAATTTTCCTATAGATTTAGAAATTCACCGTGAGTAAAATTTAACAACAAAAATATAGTTTATGACAAAGGTTTAACTCAATCTCTTAAAACAAACAAAAAATGGTCATCTTTTAAAAGAGACCGTGTAAGTAGCTGGTAAAAAAACTGGCATCAAAATTGTACACAAAGGCTTGTCTTCTACCGATACATGCACATTTTTATGTGCACAAGTTAAATCGTTCGCCAAAAAAATGTATTTAATTCTTGTTTATGTTGAAAATCGAACAAATATTATTTCACTTGCATATTTTGTTCATTTTTATACATGAATAGCAAGTAAAGGAAGTCAATTTATAGTTATCTACCGGAAGATAATATTGTGTTGTGTGATTAGGTTGGGCAATGACAAATGACTTGTAAATAACTTATAATTGAAAATAACAATAATATGAACATATTTGCTCTCTGCATGTTTATGTTTTAATAAAACGATACCGCAAATTTAAATATTTAAATATATGAAGATAAAAATACAATGAAAAAAAAACTATAATGCGGACAAACTTTGGTATATAAAACTTTACATTCGAAAGTTCGAGATATGGAGGTTAAAACACATTAACATCACTTCTATACATATATATTCATAATATTTGAGATACCAGAGTTATAGATACCAAAACCTCAACTGCGTATTACATGTACAAAATGTTACAATAGGGTACCTGATAAATTAGTATTGTTTATTTAGCATGAAATGAAGTAAAATATATGCATTTTGAAATAATTAATCCATTTTCTGGATATTGATACTTACAGGGAAAGGTTGTCTTATATCTATTTTTAACCAAATTTTCCTCTTTTTTTCCTTCATCACATTTGTAGAGTTCCCCGTATGGTAATGTCTGCAAAGAGCAATGTCAACAATAACACTAGTGCATTTCAAGGGTTGAAATGTAAAAAAAAAATTAATATGGTAAGTGTATTTTTTAAAATGGAGGGGGTGTAACAAACGCTAATGATATAACGCCGCATAGTTATATAAATAGCATTAAGCGTTGCAAAGGTAAGACTAAATGCAATAATTATTACATCAATGGGTTATCTTTTCAACGGGTAATGCTAAATCGGCAATTAATGAAAGAATTATCATTAAGCGGATGAGCACGTCAACTATTAATTCCCTGATTTATGACATTAAGCGCTGCACTGCTAAATACCGTCAATTCTCGAATTATCGCCATTCGATTCATCGCCATTTTCGCAATACCGCCATGATTTCCCAAGAACGTTTTTTCTGCTATATAAAATTCTCTTTATAACGCCAAATTCGCATACCGCCATCCGCCACCCTGTTTTCAAAACAAAGGTCCATTTTAAAGTGTCAATTATCTCGATATACCTCCACAGGTGCATGTGGTCAGTGAAGCGCGGCTAATATTGGTTGACGCTATCCCCTGATGTAAAGCATGCAAAGGCAAACGATGTACATGCAATTAAATAATTAAATAAGCATTAAATAAACAATAATTTTAAGTGAAGTGTTATAATAATTTTGTTTTCTGTTTGATAAAAATCATTTAGTCATGGCTTCGCCACGAAAACGGTCATTATTAAATTACGCCGATAACGATAGCATTTTGATAATCTCTGCTTTAAACCTTGCAAAGTTTGCTTTAAAAAAATACACTGTATAAATTGTGAACGTCATTAACAATGATGCCATAACAATGAATTTATTCAAGAATTCATTTAACGTAATATCGGCAAGATATCACGACGATCGACTCAGCATGTTTTTTTTTCAATATCAGACGTGCAAATTTACATGCATCCACATGTACTTGTCTTTATTTCAGAACTGCACATTTTGTTTTAGCGAAATTGTACATAAAAATAACTTGTATTTTCAAATTTAGAATAATTTTTTTATATGCATGTACATGTAATAATAAGAATAGAAACGCTAAATGGTATTTCTAAGAACGGTAACTCTACTTCTTGTTCCCTTAAAGATGGAAAATTCAATTCATCTCCAAATTCGTTATACTCCCATAATTTCTAAATTACAAAAGGTGGCGGTTTATCGAGAATTAACTGTAATAATTAAATAATTTAGCGGACATTTATCATTAGCGACTGCTACTAGATTGTATAGATACTTAATCAATCAAATTGATTTCTTTTACATAGGATTTTTTCTTTCTTTTTGTTTTTAATTTATTTGTTTTTCTTTCTCTACGTTATCGTCATTTACTTTTTGTGAACAAAAACTGACTTCATGCTTACCGCATACTCTCTTTGAAAACCTTCATTTTCATTCATTCGTTTCTCAGTTATAACCGACTCTAGCTGATTTAGAGGTATATCCCACATAGTCATTTCATTAGCATAAAAATCTCCATAGGGATTCTCGAAATGCAGTATCTCATCGTCATCAACATCAGCCTCATCACCTTTCTTCTGCGATTTCCTTGGATTGTTGTTTCGTGTTTTTGAGAATTTGTTTCCGCTGCTGCTCGTCGATGTCGAATTTGAATCATGGCTAGTAAATTCTGTCTCAGGCACCCCTTTTCTCGCTTGAGATATGAATGATAAACCTGATCATGCTATCGATGATAAATGTTTTGTATCATTGGATTAAAAAATTGTATTTCAAAATATGTTACTTACATTTGTCTCTTGTTTTTGTTCGTTCACTATCTGAATTATTCTTTTGCAAACTGTGTCTTCTTCAAAAAAAAAAATATCAAAATATCAAGAATACCTTATATGTACATGTCAGGAACGTAAGAAAAATTAATATAAAGCTTTACCTTTTTAAAACTAGAACCACGATCACAACTATAAGACAAGGAATAATAACCCCGACAATTCCACTAATGACTATACCAAAATTGACGCTATTGCTTATCTGAAAGGACGTTTCCTGAAAAAAAAAATAATGACATCCTAACGTGAACCTGATTAAGATATATATTCTCGGTTTCTACATTGTATTATGCTCGTTATTAAATTGAATCTGTCAAATATAAAGATTTTAACAGTATATTAAAACAATTACAATTAATATTATTCAATGTGATATATAAACAAGCATATTTCATCTGTTTTCTCATTTTTAAGGCTCCGATTCTGCTAAAAAATTTTAATGTATTTTCCAAACAGAAAAAGCCACATTACTTTTATAGCCGGACAGTTTCCGTTAACTGGGTTGCAGGTTTCAAAACATCTTTTGCTACAGTTTTCTTTACAGTCAAATCCAAATGTTCCTAGGGTGCATTCTATAAGAATTACAATTTAAATATTGGGGAAAAAATCGAAATGAAAGAATATGTCCATTCTAACAAAGCATTCAATCATTTACAATTAGGTAGACATTGCCAAAAAAAGGAATAGATTATATTTTATTTTTTTAAGGTTAAAAATGCACCAGTTGTACAGTTAACGCCTCTGTATCCCTGCTTGCATCCACTCTGGCAAGTTCCATTGATGTGATGACATTTAGCATCATCTCGACAATAACCACAAGATTGATTACAATATGAACCATACCTATTGTTTCTGCATGCTAAAATAATAATAACAAAACATTACAAAAATGAATAAGAGAGGTGATGGTTTAAGTAATAAAAACTTCATATTCAAAAGTTTTTCATATCTGTTTATTTTGAATTTTGCAGGACAAGTGTAAGATATATTTCAAATCTGCGTTGAATAGTCACGTTGCGACAATGATAAAAAACATTACTTTTATTACAATGAAGTCCTTCCCAGCCAGGCTGGCATCCGCCCTCACATTCTCCAGTCGTTCCGTTGCATACATAGGGCACCAAACAGTTTTTGTTACAATTTCCCTTACAATTAATACCAAATTTTCCACTCTCACAACCTAAGAAAAAAAATATGTGTATATGCTGGGATCTGAAACAATACTATCGGTAACTCAGAACTTAGAAACTTTACTTCGTTACTTTATTACTATGAGATATAATGTTCTTCGTAAAAAACGCTTGCTAATGTCATTAAAATAATTCAATTACATTAATTTCAGTATCTTTTAAGAGACCAGTACCAGTTTTACAGAGATCTCCTTCATATCCAGCGTCACAGCCTTCTAGACATGATCCATTTAAGTGGTGACATTGTTTGTATCCCAGACAGGTTCCACAATCTTCCATACACTTATCTCCGTAGGTTCTATTACCACATTCTTTTGATATGAAAATGACGTAAAAGGTAGATATGCAACAGGGAAGGCATTTAAAACATTCATCTATCGAAAGCATTCCATGAATATTTTGTTATGTGTTGTTCATTTAAATTAGGTACCGAAATATTTCTAATTGCATTTGTTTTATGCATCCGTGGACTTTGCAATGCCATCAAGCATTAGAAAGATTGGGAATAATTGCTCCTTTTGGATGTAAGGACGGAATCAGCGCACCATTAGATTAAAGTAATTTTTTTCGCTTTAAGAATTACCTTGCCATTTAATTAAGAAACATGTTATGTGTATGTAAAACACCATAAATAGCGATTAACATTTTAATTTAAAGTTGAGTATTACATATTGAAATGATTTTATGAAGAGAAAGAGAGAAGGTAGAATTGTTGATTTTATCAACTTTATATCAATATTAAACCCTATGTACCAGCCTTTTTGCATCCAGTTCAGAAAATAGAATGATAGGGAAATTTTAAAGTCATTTTAGTTGTTCATAAATATACAGATAGTAAATTTAAGAGCTCTTTGTGTTATATAATCATGGTAACCATTGACAGTCAATAATATTTTTTTTTACTGTAGAATACATTTTTTAACTGAAAAACATATGCAATCGTTGATTTACTGAACGTTTTCATCATGTATTTAAACATCAATTACTGCAAATTGATTGCTTTGACTCAAACGTAAACTATGGAGCTCTAAACATATTATTATTTTTTTTTTATTTTAAGGAATCTTGCCATGAAAACTGTACTGCGTTAGCAACCAATTTTTGCCCCATTTAAGTTTAGGGTATCAAAAACTTTTATCATAGAGAGTTTGGATAATTTCTGAAACTATTCATGCCACAACTCTGACATAAAATATCAAGTCATTAAAGCGATTGGCTCTTAAACACGTTCACACAAAAAACAGAGGGCCAAAATGTATGTGTGTGTGAGGGTGTGTGTTAGGGTGAGGGTGAGGGTGAGTGTGTGTGAGGGTGTGTGTGTGTGTGTGTGTGTGAGGGTGAGTGTGTGTGTGTGTGTGGGTAAGAGAGGGTGTGCAAGTGTGTGTGAGGGTGTGTGAGAGTGTGTGTGTGTGTGCAAATACTTAAGTCTAAATATACAATTTCCTCTCTGTCGATGTAGCAGACATCTTAACGCTATATTCCAAATCAAAAAAAAACATCCATTTAATCAGATTGTTTCAAAAGGTAACTCCTTTTTCGTTTACTTACTTAATTCACATTGATGTCCCTGATACCCAGGTTTACATCCCTGACAAGCACCAGTCTCTATGTGACAATAAGGATGGAGACAGTTGTGAGGACAGGGCAAGGAACAGTTCGATCCATAGAAACCAGTTTTGTTGCAACCTTGAATGCAGAGAAAATGACAGCAAAACAAACTAAATCTTCAGGAAAATGAATATCAGGGTTTAACATTGATGTATAAACGAGTTTCTAATTATTTTTTACTTCGTTCACTGTGCGAAGTTTTGACTCTCTTTTTTAATGTAAAAAGTAAGAATAAACAACATCGAAATCAATCGCATAAACAAGTAAACTTAACAAATCATGAATGGGGTGAAAGAACAACCCCTGGAAACAACATAGGTATTGTGTCTGACAGGGGTAATCATCCCTTGCTGACAGGTCATACCCGCCTTGAAAAGAAACATATAAGCGAACGAAATGAAATTAAGGACTAGATTTTTCCAAATAATTATACTTAACTTTAAAATTAGCCACAAAAATCCCTGTTATGAAACCACTCCTTTTTCAGAGTAATCTACCTTTACAAAGTAATATGGTAATATGCCTCAATATATATAGATATGTATATATTCTTTTTTCAGTTTTTTATGTGTATCATTGGTAACAGTTTAAAAAAAAAAAGAAGTACATTTTTTTATTGCACTTCATTACCCTTCAGAATCACAAGATTTTTTTCTGTATGTCCCCTAAATTCTTCTCTTAATTGGGGGGGGGGGGGGGGGGGGGGGGTTGGCAACTTACCGTAAACTTCCAATTCATTATGTGCCTGCCCATACATTTGAACTGCATTTGGTAAGGTATGAGGTCTTTTGTTGATATATATGACGTACTGTCCATGTACAGGACATAATATCTCTACCACTGATGGTATTGTGGACGTCTCGTAAACCGTGTCGTGGAAACAGAGATGAGCACCATTTATGCTTGTTGTGTTGGATACATAAACATAAAATCCAAGAAATCTATCTGCGAAACCATTTGAAGCACCTAAATAGCATTGGAAGTTTAAGATTAAAAAAAAAAAAAGATTTATTCTTTTCTGCAAAATTCCTCAGGAAAAATCACCATTTCAATTTGAAAGGCATTGAACCTAAAAGGTAAGTAAAAAATACTAAGAATGTTAATTGAGTTGTGCTTTATTCAGATCGCAGAAATACATATTCCTGAAAACAAAGTTTATAACATCAAAGATACACACATTCATAATTATATTAAAATATTAACTCAAACTCAACACAGTTGTATGCTCAGAACTACATGCTTAGATGTCTGAAGTACCTTCTTACATATGTAGAGTATGAGTTTGAATTTACAAGTCTGGGACTTTTGAACACGATCATCCTCCCTAGGCTGAAGCTCAAAATGTAAAAATGCGTCTACTTACCCCATGGTGCATTGTCCGTCCTGTAATATATCATTATGTTGTGAATACTTTGTATGGACACCAAGTTAACCCACCAGGTGGCGGTCTTCTGACCATCAGCTGATATAACACATTGTCCTCCATAGGCAGAGAGGTTTGTCTTCAGACCATCAACAGCATTACTGGAGTCGAATGTTGATGGTCCATATTTATTTATATGACTGCTGTACGCCTTTGATTGGTGTGTAGGTTTATTTAAAGCTATGTTTTCTAAAAATAAATGGAAATCTTGAAATATCAAGATATTGGAATAATACAGCTTCTCTCGGCCATTAAGACTACCGTCGGAATGCTTAAATAATTATCCTTGAGAAAGGTAAATGCTCTGGTGAACTCAATGCACAAGAAAATCAAGGCTGTTACTGATGCTCAAGGGGGATGATGAGAATTTTTATTTTAATGTTGGTTTTAACGACATATCAATTTCAATAACTCAGGAATAATCAGTCAAAGTCACAAACGATTTCTGTTGTTTGTTGTTTAATGTTGAATTAAAATGATTGATAACAATACTGGAAAACATATTAGAAATAAAAGTTTTAATTTTATTCAAAAGTTTACTATGCGTTTCTTTTTCCTTTCAGTATACAGTGTATCTAGACCACAATTAGCAATAAACAAAAATGAACATCAGAGAAATAATGTTAAACATCTAAGTACGGTTGATCGCAATAAGTCATGCTATTTGACAATAATATAACATTGTTCGGCTTACGTCGACTATATTTCTTGTTTACAAGCGATAATTAGTTCCTCCTGCATTCAATTATTTAAAGTGCGCTTCAATCATTTATTTGGATTTTAGAAAATGAAAAGTGAAATGCTTGTTTAACAAATAACATTCCGATAAAAAAACCCAAAACGAAATCTTCCCTTACGTTTCTAAACGCACGATCACCCAAGATTAAAACCGCAAACGATTAAGTCTGATACACGTATGATCTCGCACCTTGCACGAACGATCATGCACGATACACGATACACGAACGATTCTACACAATTAGTTTGTCAACAATAACGTTGCAGCAACTGTATTGTAAAATAGAGAGAAAAAACCTTGCACTTCAATATTACATTATAGCCCATTTCAATAGTTGTCTATTTTTGAATAATGAAAAAATAATATTGAGCATAAACTAGACTGTATAAAAAAGAAATAATCAGATACGTCAGTGTCTATAATTAAGTATTTATTTAAGTAAACGTAAACTGACTTCTGGGAATTTCAGTGAAAAAAAATCCATCATCCGATATTCAAATACTGTATAAAAGGTTACTGGCCATCTGAATAAATCAAATAGATCTAAAGAAACATGAATTATCAATTCATTGGATCATCTACAAAATGTTGTGTTGTATAGCTTTAGCATTGTTTTATATCATTAAGTCATAGCCAAACGTGGGAATCTTTCACCGGAAAGCTGATATTATGATGTAAATCATTGTCATTGTGGATATAAGCTTTATCCTTTGAGAGACTTTTAAAGGGAAAATGTTTAAAAATATTTTGAAATGATCAACTGATCTGGAATAGTGAAAGGTTCGGCATTTTCACAAGATACTTTTTCGGGCTTGCCAATTTATGGTCGTAACGTACCTTCTTTTTTATTTAATGTTTTCAATCCATTAAAGTCGCTAGCGTGGCGCTATGGATAAAACGTCTGCTCTAGAAGTAGGGAGTAAGGAGTTGATCCTTATAATTATATCACGGTTTCGAATCCCACCGAGGAACGTGGAGACCGGTCCTTCGAATGAGACTATAAACCGAGGACCATGTCGCAGTAGGCGCTGGCAAGAAAAATATCCCTCCCTGCTCAATGGACCTGAGTGCCGAGTATAGGACAATATTTGCAGCTCTACACCAGCAAGTGTTGGCCTCTCCATATAAGTGAAAAAATTCCCCAGAGGGACGTTAAACAATACACAATTAATCCATTCTAAAATTTTTGATACTTGTATAGAGATTGTACATTGCTACAAGTTCTGACAAATGTATTTGAAAATGACATTTCATGCCTGAAAGTGATGACAAAATATTTTTTAAGATATAGAATCTAACACCTTCACAAATTTAATGACACAAGGTACCTTTATTAACTAAAAGTAGTGATCTCCCTTGGCATATTCAAAATGAAATCAAATATCCTGGAGAAAATATGTATACATACACAAATATGCTTTATAGAATCGATCCCAGGGTTCTGCATATGACCTTTTCGTGTGAATTATATAAATGATTTTCGACAAAAAATGATAAAACGAATATGCATAGAAATCAGAAACTCACCATAAGCAAAAATG